GATAGGCAAAGCGTAGAAACTGCCTGTGTCGATGAACAATGGGGACATGAAAGTAGGCATCCTTCAGGTCTACAGATGTGAACCATTCCCCTCGGGAAACAGTCCACAGAACTTCTGCCATGGTCAACATATGGAAAGGCAGAATTTTCATGAATTTTTTCAGTCCCCTTAGGTCCAAGACTGGATGGAATCCGCCGATCTTCTTTGTAACGAGTAATTATGTTGAGTAGAATCCCCTGGGGTGCAACAGAGGATCTACAGCCTCGATGGCGCCCTTGGCCAGGAGGCCTGGTCCAGCGCTAGAGCTTTTGCCGGGTCTCTGATAATGGTCATTTTGCTTCTCGCAGCTTGTTTTGTCATATCTGATGTCACTTAGTTCTATGTGTCTGGTCAAAATATCAGTCTTAGTTCATCAGCTCAGTGCACATATTTGTATTTGCAATCTGCATCAACCAGAGGAAGAAGAGAACAATACAGTGCTTGGCTTTATTTTGCTTTGTGTTGTTTGATCTACTTTGCAGCTTTCAGAGCCATGTTCAACTGTTGTATGTTGGAGATTTGGTGTAGAATTGGTCAGAATGATTTACATGTCAGCCCCCCAGAAATATTTTCTTACTTGCGTGTGCAGGTGTCACAACAGGTGTGTCCATGATCTCATCCTGCATTGTTTCAGTGGTCTGGAAGGAGCTGTGTTCCTCTGATCCCACGTTGATGAGCGCTGAGCTGCTTGTGTCCGTTGCCTCTTGCACAGCAGTGATCACGATGTGTTCCTCCATTTCACCAGCAGGAGTGTCCAAACGCTGAGACACTAAATCACTGCTGGTATTGTACACTGTGGTCTCTACATGAGGGCGAGAGGCTGTGGAAATAATAATGATCATGTTGATAACAATAATGATCGTATTTAGAACCACTACGGACTACACGTCCAGTTGTGCCTTTCTGCTGAAACAATGAATTACATAAAATGGACCTTTATCACCTGTGTCAGTCCGTTGACAGTTATATATGCAGCCACAACATAGTGCTGATGGAGGGACCTCTTCTTCCTCACAGTGAAGTTCAATAAATGAATCTTCACCATTGAGTCCCTTTTGATAAACAAGAAAAAATACTTAACATTTAATTGTCTCATACACATTATTTAATGTGGACAGTATTATTTTGGACATGTACAAAGTAGCTGTTTACCTCCAGCACTGGTGAAGACTCTGTCATCCCACCCTTGTTTCAGGTTATTCAGGCAGCTTTTGTCTGAAAGTAACGACAGATAAGTCTTGATGCCTTTATTCCACA